TACTGTGGATATTTTTGGTCTCACCTCAGAAACAAGCAGGGTTTGCAGAAGGTGGTCTATGATCTACTGTATTAATTCTGTACTTGTCACAAGTACATCATTTTAAAATGAAATTGTATTTTCATATTGGGCAGGAAATAAATTCACATGACGAGAAGAGAAAGCTGAAACCATTAAAAAGGAAAATCCAGATCCCACTAGTTTACCTCCCTAGTTTAACTAGATTTGCCTGTAATGTCATTCTGTACCCATGCCATTCCTAAAATAACTTTTTCAAAAACTAAACTTCTAGACTTAGCTCAAGTGGTTCAGTTCAGTTCAGTTCAGTCACTCAGTCGTGTCTGACTCTTTGTGACCCCATGAACCTCAGCACGCCAGGCCTCCCTGTCCATCACCGACTCTTGGAGTTTACCCAAACTCATGTACATTGAGTCGGTGATGCCATCTAACCATCTCATCCTCTGTCGTCCCCTTCTCCTCCTGCCTGCAATCTTTCCCAACATCAGGGTCTTTGCAATTCTGTTCAAGTGACAAGACTACCATAAAGCCTTTCCATTCACTGTTGTTGTTTAGTTGCTAAGGCATTAGCATGTTTAGTTGCTTTAGCGATCCCATGGGCTATAGCTCACCAGGCTACCCTATCCATGGGATTTCCCAGGCCAGAATGCTGGAATGTGTTGCCATTTCCTTCTTCAGGGTGTCTTCCTGGTCCAGGGATCAAACTTAGATTGGCAAGCAGATTCTTTGCTGCTTAGCCACCAGGGAAGCCCTCTTTACATTTGTAAGAGGGACTAAATCAGAGAGAACAGAACAATCAAGAATTCATTGCAATGGCCCATGAAAAATGATAAGCCCAATGTGGTCAGCAGACATGTGAGGGAAAAGAAGCATTTCAGAGATTTTGCAGAGATTGTGATAGTTGCTAGGGTAAGGGAGATGAAGAGGGAGCGGTGATAAGAATCCCTGACTGGCTCCATGGTAGATTTAAAGCCATATGTACAACAAATAAAAATACAGGGACATGTTTTTATTAGTTCAGGCATCTCAGTTCACTGACAAAATTCTCCCCAGGCTGTATAACCCTATACCATTAGGTTACTATGCTGACCTTTGCCAATAAGCTCCTCTCTCCAGCCTTGGGTCTGATCTTGACCCTTAACTTCCCATTGGCCCCTAATCAATTATGTTTCCCTTCATGCTCTGATGCCTCCAAGTCTGGTACCATTCCCCTGGTTTTTCTCCTTTAAAAGCACTGAGATACTTCTCTCTAAGATGGGCAGCAAGATCATGAGATGCTTTTAATGATGTGTAGCACCAGCCCCTCTAGGAGCGACTTTCTTTCCATTGTGAATGCCTCCGTAAAAGGCATAGTTTGTAAATTTTTGTTAATGCAAAAAGGGAACATTCGGGCACCTTTTCTGTCCTGCTGATGTGTGGGGCTATTTTTAATTTTTGTTCTTCGCTCTTTTTCTGTGCCTGTGATTTTAAAGGTGCCAGACTGACTGCCCTCCAGCCTGGTGTCCCCGATTTCTCCCAAGAATAGGAAAAGTACAGGAGGCAGCCGTGCTGGTCATGTCTGGGTCTAGCATATTAGCCTGACCCGCTCTGGAAGAATATTCTCCAAAATATAAAGGAAAAGACTGTTCCTTGTGAGCACAGTCCATCTGCTTTCATAGCTGCAACGACAAAACCTTGCTGTCCTGCCACCCAGCCACTGCAGAGGTTTTGGATCCAGGAAGCCTAGCCACTCATCCCCTCTTGTGGAAAAACTAGAATGTTTCTTCTCTTCCATCCCTACTTGTCACAATTCCATCCTTTAAGGTTGGACTTAAACGCCTCTTTCTCCACAAAACCTCTCCTGAGCCCTCTCAGGTGTAGTGTTCCTTCCACATCTCCAAAGCACTTTTTCAGATGACACCACATTTTGTCATGTGATTGTAGGATGTATATAGTCTCACAATTAATGTGAAAGGCAGTGACGTGGTCCAGTTCCTTTCCAGGTATCATACAGATTTTGTGTTGTGTGCTAAGTCGCTTCAGTCATGTCCAACTCTTTGTGACCCTGTGAACTGTAGCCTGCCAGGCTCCTCTATCCATGGGATTCTCCAGGCAAGAATACTGGAGTGGGTTGTCATTTCCTTCTACAGCATAAAGATTATAGAACTGGACAAAAAGTGAATAGCTAAGGAAGTGAGAATTCCGAACCTTATCTGACCTTCATCCTGACCTTCAGGGCTCTGTTCTGACCTTTCCCGTTAATCAGTGATTGAGATTTTCCCCTAGATCCTCATGGGTAGCTCTCAAACTCTCCATAAACCATGTAAACTCAGGCCTTTGGATTCCAGATTTGACACTTTGGGCAACCATCCTCTGGAATCATAATTGCTACCTCTACCTGCCTCATCGACCACCATGACTAATAGTCAATAACATTTGGCCAGAACAAATTTTTTTCCAAAGTGTGGTCTACAGATCACTGGTAGTCCCTGATGGAGTCTCAAGAAGTCCAGTTTGGTGTCTCGAAAAGGAAAGAGTAGTAAATAATTATTTTGTTGACTTGCATTTAATGAATATAAAATGTAAAAGTATAATATTCACAGGAATCCAATATGCTTTTAATGAATCATCACATTCTTAATGATTACATATGTACCACGAAACCTGTATGGATTGGTGGTGTTTAACTGATGTTCACTAACAGTGCCATTCAGCTCACAGTATTTTCATATTATTAGTATTTTTTTTCTGCTGCTGCTAAACCTACATTTTAAAAGGATTATTATTATTTCATTATACTATTTGTTTACTTTTCCAGACTGGATCAGTTATTTGAGTGATCCTTTTAAAGTGGAAAAAATAGTCTTAAAGATAATACCATAAAGATCAGTTCAGATAAATATTAAAAATGTGTTAGTGAACATGATGCCAGTATAAATACTGGGAATGAATCTATATACACTGGAGTAAATGTGATTACTTTGCATAAGCAGTCGAGAAAAAAATTTTTGAAAGCTGTGATTATGATGTAATTTTTTAAATTATATTTTATGGATTGGTGATCCATTCACCTACAATTTCCAGTATGTTCTTTGTAATGAAATATTATCAGATAGTGGCATAAAGTCTCAAGACTTTTAACATCCTTTTCAAACATAGTATAGTGAACTTTCTAGTAAACCAGTTGAGTTTTTTTTTTTCCCTGAATAATTGCAACAGTGATGCCATATGGTAGTCCTAGCTTTGTTACTGAAGGGAATGACAGTCTAAAATTTTAAAGTATTTTCTTAGGTTATACATCTTATAATAAAAACAGATACAAGTTCACACTTGGATATAAATTTGTAAATCAAGCCACACAGTTTATTAAAGTATATCAGATGTCAAAAATATGATATCAAGACTTCAAAAAAATATCAAGTGCTGAAGAGTTTGACATTTTTTTCAACATTTAATATTTCTTATTCTTTAGGAGGAAAATGTTCTATAGTTGGGTCTATTCTTTAGTGGGGAAATGTTCTATAGTTTGGGCTATACTTTAGAGAGGCATTCAAATTCTGAAACAAAATATATGAAGAAATACTTCCCAGGACCAACGCAACCAGAAGGAATTAGAAACACCTTTGGCTCTTCTCTCCTGAGTTGAAATATTTAACCCCCATCCCTTTTCAGTGTTAAATGATAGTCATCCAATGTGATGGAGCACTGAAAGCAGCCTTTAGTAAGAGGTTTATCCATAGTGCCAGCTCTGTGTGTGATCCTGAAGCACAGAACTAAGCAGAGGCAAGACTGCAGAATGGTTAGGACCTTCAACACCGAAGTTAGACTGCTTGGGTTAGAAGGTAGTTACCCACTTTTGTAACCCAGTTCCCTCATCTGTAAGATAAGAATAGCAGTTGTACTTGCCATATAAATTGTTGTGAATATGAAATAAGTTAATATACATAAAGCACCTAGAAAAGCACTAGGTTTGCTAAAGTTTATTTGTAAAAGTCTGTCGATTCTTGCTGACATTTCCAGTGAACTTGTAATAACCTGTTGAGACTTCTTCCCTTCATAGACATAAAGAATAAGAAGGGGAAAATGAATGTGACTGTGGCCTCTGGGTTAAGATTCCCAAAATGAAGCCAGTTATGGATATAGACTGTAGCCAGCACAATGCCTTTCAATGACATAATTTTTTTTTTGAAATTACATTTTAATGTTCTCATTAAAAACTTAATGAAGCTTTTTTTTCAAGCTGAACACATGTCTGTATGTGGTCAGGAGCCCCAGGAATCAATGTAATAATGCTGAAAATTTACAGAACACTGGGCTGGACAATGACAATCAAGACCATAAGGGTCTCAGAACCCTACAGTCTGTGGAACTGCTGCATGATTAAGGGATATTCAAACTGTAAACAGATTTAGAGGCAACGCTGAGTTGTAATATATTAAAGGGTGTCAAATGTAAGAAATGAGACGTATTTCTTCAGGCCTTAAAAGACAGAACTGGGACTATTGGGTAACAATGAGGAAGCATTCCAGCTCAACATGAGAAAAAACAATCAGTACTGTCTGGAAATAAAAGACACTACTTTTTTTTTTTTCTTGTCTGCCTGTCACTAAGGACTGGACGCAGAGGCTTTGCAACCCAGGCTTTTGTAGAAGGAGCTGAAGTTTGAGTTTGGACCCAGTTTGCTCACAGTCTAACTGGTAGCTCCTCATAGTAGCTCCAAGGAGAGAGAATTCTGTGCTTTCCACTCCCACCATCCTGAGTCGAGTTCCTCTTATGTTTCTGTGTCAAATCAGAGGCAGAGCGCTGGCCTCCACATCAGAAGACCTAAGTTCTACTTGGTCACTTCCCAGGGGAACTTGTCTACGAGAGTCAGCGCTCAGCTGATTGTAAAATCCCCAGCGCTGGCCTCCTGGTGGCTGCCACAGTCACTGTGACCCTGATGATGATGGCAGTGGCGGTGACCCTGTTGCTGCTGTTGACTTGACAAATGTAGTGTGTCCCCCATGCAGTCCTCTTTAGAACTAAAGGTGTTCTTTACTGCCAATCCCTTTTTTCTTTCAGGCCGCTGTGCTCGCTGTGGGGAAAACGTAGTTGGGGAAGGGACAGGATGCACTGCTATGGATCAGGTCTTCCACGTGGATTGTTTTACCTGCATCATCTGTAACAACAAGCTCCGAGGGCAGCCCTTCTACGCGGTGGAGAAGAAAGCCTACTGCGAGCCCTGCTACATCGTAAGTATTTGGTCCTCGGGTAATTTACTAGAAGGACTTCTATGGCAAAATATCGATCACTCCAGATCAAATGTAGCCTCAGGTCTTTGCTTCTGATTAGATTTCAAAATGTGCTAGTGTATAGATTGGCATATCTTAATTTTTATCGCTATGTCCCTTATTCATTTGTGGTCAAAAGGTGCATTGGCTGGGGCTACCATTCAGTTAGTGGTCTACCAGGAAGATCAGCGCCCTGGGGCTTACAAGCACGTATGTACAAGCTAACACGTTCCCCCTTGAAGTATCAGGTTTCCCAAGTAACAGAGTCACACCTCTTATTATTAAGCCTCACTCTATATCTGATGTCATATTTGTAGATAAACATGTTGCAGGGCCTTGGGAATTGTAAGTACTCTTTCAAACTCCTAGGTCGCTTGAATCACCTTCTTTCTACCCAGAATTTCTCTTACTTGTCATTGTTATTTAGCCACTAAGTTGTATCTGACTCTTTTGGGACTCCATGGACTGAAGCCCCACCAGGCTCCTCCGTCCATGGGGTCTTCCCAGGCAAGAATACTAGAGCGGGTTGCCCTTTCCTCATTTCCTTCTCTAGGGTATCTTCCCGACCCAGGAATCAAACCCATGTCTCCTGCATTAGCAGGTGGATTCTTTAACACTGAGCCACCAGGGAAGCCCTTTACCTGTCACACCCAGCAAATTTTCAGTGATGCAATTAGATAAACTATTGATATTTTAGGGTACCTTAAAGGAAAATAGTTGTGCTGTTTCCTTTTTTTAAATTCACAATTATATTTTAATAACATAGTTGAGTGACTATAAAATACTTGTTGTCCCATTATCTTAGCTGTTTGCCAGGCTACTTAAATCTACACATTAAGCTGTCTTCTGATAGAGCAGTTTGGTAAATGAACATAAACTTTTAAAATCTAAAGTAAATTTCCTTGCGATCCTTCTACATGATTTTATCTCTCTGTTGAATGCTTATCAGCGGAAAAAGTAGTGCTTTTTTGCAAACCCACACAAGAGGCATGATTTGGCCCTCAGCCCCCACAGCATTTCAACATAAGAGAAACCTCGGGTGCAACGTATTGGAAGATACATAGCTTGGCGGAACCCTGGGGTTCAAGTTTACTGCAGAAGTTTCTGGCCTCATTGGGATTTTCCCATAATCTGACAGCTCTAACTCATTGCAGCCCTGGAATCTGTAGCACAGATCTGAAGTCTTTTTGAGATTAAGATCTTGCAAGATGAAATATTGTTTTGCATCTCTCCAGTTCAATTTTATCTCATTTTCCTCCCTAAAGGCAACTTAGTCACATATAGCATCATTATAGTGCCACACAATGTCGGAGCTGGAAAAAAAACTTAAGATCATTTGTCTAACTCGTCTCTTTAGAAGTGAGACTACAGAGAGGAAGAAAATGACTTCTGTCATTTTATTAGTGTCAGAGCGGAGATTAACTTCAGTGGTTCACACTAATCTCATATTCAGTGCAGACACAATAAGGCTTTAGTTTATTCAGAATATAAATACAAACACAGTGATGTCCCATTGATTTGGAAGGAACAATTACATATCATAAAAAGTCTAGTGAACAAAAATTTACATCTATAAGAAATAAGAATGTTTAAAATATCACTCTTAAAAACCTCTGTTGAAAGAGAAAATCACAAAATCCCCTGTAAATAAGGGGTGTGGATTGTCATTCACAATGATCTAGGACCACAGTGAAATTATTTATTGCAGTGGTCTCTTTGGCAATGTCAGCAGAGCTTCCAGAAGCACCTATGGCTGTTTGTCCATACACTAAGTGACCACAGAATACTGTGTTTTTTTTTTAGTTCTTTTGTCTGTTTTTCACCCTTTTTTTTTAGAGTGCACTGTTGATTCTCATTACTTAGCTGATGCTCCCGTGGCTGCCTCCTTCAGTTTTCATCTCTTCCTAGCTAGGAATCACATGGACAATATTGGGAAACAGTATAACACAGTATGAAGAACATGGGTTTGAATCTGGTTACATCACTTAAAACTTTGTCTCCTCTTAGGGAAAGTTACTTGATCGTTTTAAGCCTGTTTTCTCATATATAATGGTGATGATTGCAGGATTTTTTCCCAAGACTTATGAATGTGAAATGTGGCAATTCTTGTAAAGCACACTTGGCTGGCTCAGGGAACAGTAGTGGGATGAATATTGCTCTGAAATTAATTTTGATAAAATTTCTGGCCTATTTAGCACCTTTGAAAGTGAGCACCTAACATGTGCAGTGAGATGCATCATGCTTGAGAAATCTCAGACATAACCCTCTCCCATTTTTAAATGCTTTGCCTACTCTCCTGAGTGTGTAATAAAACTGAAGAAAGTCTAAGCTGGCTAATAAGGGCTTTTACTCTGGTAGACAAAGGTTTCTGTCTCCGTTTCAGGCATAGCAGTTCATTAGTTCTTGAGGATGTGTTTCCTTCAGCCTTGGTTGCCTGTTACTATAGTATGCACATGACAGTGAACACTGGGTGATATTTAATCACATCCTTGGAAAAAGTGAATGAATTCAAATAATGGAAATTCTTACCATCCTTTTTGACTTCATTCCCTCTGAAGAAACTTTAATCAGAATTTTTCTTTAATGAGATCTATCCGTGGTGACTCTAAATGTAATTTAATTTTTATCAGAATTCAGTTAAGCTTTACTCAAAGACCCTTGTTCGATATTGATTTCAGAGTTAAGCACAGCACTCAAGCCCTCAGATGGATGTTTTAGCATTTTAATTTCTTCTGAACTTTAATAAGACCAGTAAGCTGCCACACTAAAAAATGTAAAGAGTTCTCTTCAGTGGGATGCTGGGAGGCTGGGAGGATAAAACAAAATGTTTGTTTTGAAGATGGAGTTTGTATGAAGGAGAGCCGTAGGGCTGTGTGTATCTCTCTTGGAGCCAAAGCCCTTAGAACAGGAAGCACCAGCAATGTCATTCATTCAATTGCCTCTTGTTCCATTGGTGGAAAGGAGATGTCTGAAAAACGTCCTGTACAGAACAGAGAAAACCTATCGCTGGGCCTCAGTCTGTGCCTTTTGTTGTTGTTATTGATGGAGTCAGAATAGTGGAGATAGTGGTTTAGTTAGATAATTATTACCGTGTAAGGACCACCCTGTTTGATGTTCTGAGTTCAGGAAGGAGACCAGTCTAAAATAATTTAATTTATTCTTGCCTAAATTAGTTATCAGTTATTTACATAATTTAGGTAAACGTGTACCAGTTATGGCTTTATGTTTGATTCAATGGTTATTTATATTTTCCAATGATTTCTTAAATCCTTAATTCTTACATGTATATAGCTGTAATTAAACAAGTTTGATTCATTAAGGCACTATAATCCTCTTTACTAATTTTATACATGCTTTCTGTTGTATTTTCTATTGACTGATTTAATATAAATATGCATATAGCTTTCCATTGTAATAATTTCCATTTTTAGCTTTTTGTTTGTAAACTTTTAAATTATGTTTACATACTACATTTTAAAAACATTTGCCACTAGAAAGACATTGGGTATTTTCCAATCTTTTAGTATTGTATATAACATGCCTATAAATAACTGAGTAAAATGTTTTATGTTATTTTATTTTGAATTATTTTTTAAACCAAAATCCTTTGATTTATGTTACCAAGTTCACAGCAATTTGGAGAACTTTTACTAGATTTCTTTAAGAAGATTTTTTTCCTATTTTCAGAACTGGGAGCAATAACGAGACCAAATGTTAAATTATAACCTTTATCCGCTTTTGAAGAGGTTTGTTCACATTTGTTTTGAACCAATTTAATAGGTACATTATGTAATGGTTTTTAATTTGAGTTTTTATAATTAGCAAAATCAGTGAGATTCTTTTCTACTTTGATGATAGATCTCTTAGTTTTGGTTATTCTTGTGGATTTATATAAATGAACAGATTAAAATTAAGAGCACTAAGCTTCCTAGGGAAGAAAAGTAGTATAATTAAGTATACATGGTTCTAGTCCTTGCCCTCCTGGTGTGATGTTAGAGACGTAATTTAATTTCTGAGTACCAGTATCCTCGCTTATTAAAGGGAGGTAATAACTTCTTCCCTGTCTTCAAAGGGAAGGAGTGAATAAAGGTAATATTTTGTACACCATGAAGAAAGGGTTTACTAATATAAGGGCTTGATCTGATTAATAATATAATATTTGTTGCTTTTTCCCTTAGCTTAATTTGATAGAATTTAGAAGTCCTCCAAGTTTTGGATAATTTCATAGCTGCAGTTGCCATGGAAATACTGAAATAAATAGATGTCATAGAAAGAGTGTGAGGACAGATATGAGAAGAAGAAGTTCATGTTTTGCTCAAGAAGATTTTTGTGTTGGCATAGGCAGCAACTGTGTCTCCCACTTCTGTGGCCTTCTGCCCTTAATGAGGCAGGTTTACTCCTAAGTACAGATTTATAAAAGAGTTGCTGTGTTCTCAGCATTGCCAGAGTCTGGACCTAGAGACCGAGTGCATCAGAGAGTCTCAGCAAGTCTGTTTATGAAATGGCAGCCAAGGATCTTTGCCTAAACCAGGGCTCTTTCTCAGAGTGGATGGAATCCAACCCTTAACTCTCCAGCAGTGGATGTTAGCACAGACATTTTTATTACAGTTACAATCTAAGTGATTAAAAGACCTCAGGAAATCGGAGGCCAGCTCCACAGGAGACTAAACACTTGAAGGTTCCTGAATTTGGCACATTAGTGGCCAACACACTTGTAGCCTTTTGCTCTCTCTGTCACTAAATGGCTACGGTCAAAACATTCTAACTTTTTCAAGCTACATTAAGAGGCAAGTTTTGTACCTCCACAGGGAAGTTGTCCTTTTATATGCTCAACTCCTCTTAACAAAATGTTTTAAAAGTAGTTATGGCCTGTGCTTTATGTGGGTATTAGTAAAGGACCTGAGAGTTTAGACTAAACTTGAAAAATTCACATGAACTTCCCTTCTTTTTTCTTAACTACC